CACAGAACAGGTGACACCTTATTCTGATAACCTGGTGATAAAAAGTATAGCCTATGATGTATATAGATGGTGGTAGTGTTACTACTTTAGGATATAAACAGAACAGTATATATATGAAATTATGAAGCATTATGCAGGGAATCCAATATAAAATTAAAAGTTAATATCCCTAGTCTAAGTAAACTATTTTTATTATAGTTCACATATAGACTCACCTATATAAAAATGCAAGAACTCAGAGTTACCTTAATTAGCAAAAAAAACACCAACAAGTTTATTACTTCAAACACCACAGCAAAAGGGTATTTTTGTTGTTTTTACTTATATATACATTTAATTGCATCATTCTTTGAAAGCACACTTCAAATTAAAGAGGATGAAGTATAATTTTTATAACAAACATTAAATCTGAGCCACATGCACAATATTAAGATAGGTTCTGCAAAGGATAAAAGATATTGAAGGTTGATAAAATCTCAGCCTTAAAGAGGTTACAACTGTCTCTGGGAAAAATGTTTTCTTTGTCTAGGATTCAATACATAAGTGTCTCATTCTGAGATTTTATATCAGGACAAACAAACATAACTTTTGAAGGTTTTTTCCTTTAAAAATGAATAAAACTCAAATGCATATTTTAAAAATGTACAAATTAGGAAAAAATATAGAGGTTTTGTGAAAAAAGAGGAATAAAGTTAAATATTCCATTTTTATAAAAGCACTAACTAGAAAGGAAGCCAGTGAGCTTCAGGTCACTTCTCAGTTATCTGTTAATTATGTCTCTATTCCTTATCCTAAGCTCCATGGGAGTGAATACCAAGAGGCAACATGAGAGAAAACAGCATGGCTCCTTTGAATCAAGCAATGATACAGAAAGAGCGAAGGAGTAAGAAGACCATAGAACTTCTCTCTTAGTTTCAATTGACAGAAGGCCTTCTGGTCCTGGGGGACATGACACCTGCTATCTATCCCTACATTGACTGATAATCAGAGGAAAAAGAACTTATCTAGAAATGCATAGACCTATCATATTCAGAAATAAGTTACTTGCAAATTTATAACATTCTCACCTACATTCATAAAATAATGTATTTAGGAAATGTAAATTTGAGAATACCTACTTCCAGTAGTATATTGGACTGGATATTGTGAAGGGATCTCTTGTTAATACCAGGAAAAAAAAAAACCACTAGATTTTGCATGAAACAATTTTTATTGCACTGATGAGACTAAAGGAAGAGGTATGTCCATGGGAAATATTCCATCCCCCAATATAACCACATACACATAACATAAACCCTGAGCTGAAATAAAAGCTTTGCACAATAAATACTGCAAATAAAAAAAAAGAGAGAAAGAGAATAAATAAGCCTGTGCCAGTATCACCACGTGGTAGCTATATCTGGAGCTCCATTAAGTGAAGGACCCCAAAGAAAACTAAAGTGGTCCCAACTCTGTAGTGTCTTATGGATGAAGCAAGCACAAATAATCCCTCAAGGAAAGCACCCTTAATTTGGGTCCCCAGATTAAAATCAATGAAATATAAATTCTCAGTCAAAGATAAGCACCACACAAAAAAATAAGCCTTTACAGTGAATAAGCAGAAGCAATACATGGTGATATTAAAACATTATGAACTTTAAATATTAGAGTTTTCACAAAGAGAATTAAGATATCTACTGATGAAATGTTTAAAGAAACAGAAGAAGGAATTTCAAAAAATGAACAAGGAAAATATCAAAAATGGCAAAGAAGATGGGGAAGCAAAACTTCTAAAAATGAAAGATAAAAATACTAAAATAAAATGAATGGGTTAAACTATAGACTAGTCACAGATGAAGAGAATTAATTAACTGGAATACAGATCATAATAAAGTACCCAGGATGCAGTCAGAAAGATAAGGAGATAGAAAATACAGAAGAAAGATTAAGAAATATAGAAGAGAGAATGCTAAGTTCTAAAACATATCTATTTGGGATTCCAAGAAGTTGAGGAGAGAGACAATGAAGGAAAAACAATACTTGTAAAGATGTACTGGCTGATAATTTTCCAAAATAATAAATGACATAAATTCACAGATAGAGGAAACAAAATATATTTGGTTGAACCACATGGAACTGTAGATCAAAAATGGTTGAATATTGTTAATTTCACATTGTTTACCTTATACTAAGCTAGATAAATACAAAGAAATCCACACCTAAGATTCACTGTAGCAAAAAAGCTAAACAACAAAGACGAACTATCTTAAAAACTATGTGAGAGAAGAGATATCACTTATTGAAAAATGACAAATTAGGCTGTCATCAAACTTTTCAGCAATAAAAATAAACACAAATGACAGTGGAATAAAATTTTAAAGTACTGAAAGCAATAAAAAAAAAACAACAAAAAAACCTTACATCATAGAGTTATTTACCCTGTAAACCTTCACTCAAAACAAAAAGGCAAAAAAAAAAAATATTATTTTCAGATACACAGAAACTAGGAAGCATTTACTACCAACAGATATTAACTAGAACTTTTTAAATTATATACTTCAGAAAGAAGGAACAGACTCCTTTTAACAGGACTCATCCTGCTGGATAGAAGAGATTGTCAGATGGGGTTAAAGACATGCAATAATGTTATTCAGAGCCCTAAATATTGACTCAGAAAAGTTGAAAATTAAATTATGAACAAAGATATAACAGGCAAATACAATCATGTGTTGCTTAACAACAAGGATACATTCTAAGAAATGCATGATTAGGCAATTTCATTATTGTGCAAACATCACAGCATGTACTTACACAAACCTAGATGGTATACCCTACTACATACCTAGGATATATGGTACAGTCTATTGCTTCAAGGCTATAAACCCCTATAGCATGTGACTGTACTGAGTACTGTAGGCAATTGTAACACAATGGTAAGTATTTGTGTATCTAAACATCAAAACATAGAAAAAGAACAGTATTATAATCATACGGAACCACTGTCCTGTATGTGGTCCACTGTTGACTAAAACATCATTATGGGGCATATGACTATAATAAAAAGTTGGATTAGCTATTTGAATATCAGGCAAAATAAACTTCAAGATTTAAAAAGCATTATTAGTGATGGAAAAGTCAGTAGATAATGTAAAATATTATATCCACTGGGAAGATTAAACAATTATAAATTTCCATGAGCTCAATAAATTACCTCAAAATAAATATAAAGTACAAATTGATACAATTATGGGGAGAAATTGACAAATCTAATGTCATAATGGGATATTTCAAAACACATTTCTCTATTATTGATAGATTAAGGAAAAAAACTCAATAAGAATACATTTTTTAAATTACAACTTGAAGCTTGACTTATTGGACCCTGAGACCAATAATTAGAGAACCCTATACCCAACAACTATATAAACATATTATTGAGCACACATGGGAAAATTATAAAAATTGATGACATACTAGGCCATAAAATAAGTATCAACAAAGCTCAAAGAATTAATAGCACAAAAGAATATTCTGTAGCCATAGGCAATTACATGTGATGCTAAGAGCAGGAGAATCAACCAAATTAGCTATTTTAAAACACCTGATAATAATTCATGGGTCAATGAAATAATCATAATGAAAATTAAAACACTTAGCACTAAAAGATAATGAAAATAATATATAAGAAATGTGTTAAGTGGCTAGTGGTTAGAGAACACTATAATTTTAAATGTTTATATTAGAAAATTTTAAAGATAAATACTGAACTCATTGAGTTTTAGCCTAAGAATTGGCAAGAGCAGGGAAGGGGAAGGATAAGCTAAATAAAATCCAAAGAAAGCAAAACAAAGGAGATAATTAAGAGCAAAATTTAATGAATTAGGATACAAAGATATAAAAACCCCAAAGTTGATTCTTGGAAAACATAATAGAGAGGTTGCTAAATTTGCCATAGGTTACATGTCTATTACATGGAGAAGTAGGACTTAAATCCAGGCAATCTTGTCTCTACAGTCCAAGTTCTTAACTACCTCCCAAAAAAGCTACATATAAAAAAGATAAGTACATTTCACTATATTAATCTTAATGTCCTCCATGTACCTCAAATACCATAAGACAAAATACATGCAACATATATAAGTGAGAAAAGATCAGTATTCAGAGTATATTTTAAAACTCCTAGAAATCAATAAGAAAAAGACAACAACCCAATAGACAAATGGGCAAAATATACCAATAAGTACTCCCCTGAAGAAAAAATATGAATGGCCAATAAATATATGAGAAAAGGTTCAACTTCATAGGTAATCAGGGAAACACAAAATAAAAATACAATGTGATATTTTATGTGAGTTAGACTTACAAAAATTTTAAAATGTTGGCAGAGGTAGAGCTATGGGAATTCTTATATATTGCTAGTAGGATGTAAATGGTACAACCCTCTGGAGAAATAATTGGGCACTATGTTGTAAAGTGTTAAACATTCATATAGCCCATGACTTGGGAATTCCACTCCAAGATAAACTCCTAGGCAAGCTCTTGAATATGTATATCCTAAAATGTACTCCTAGAAACATACTCCTAGAGAAACTCCAGGAACATGTAACCTACAGAAACTCTTGAACACATATATCCTGAAACAACACAAGGATGTTAATGTCAAAAAACTGGGAACATCCTGTATTCACCAACAGAAAAATGGAAAAATAGTATATTCAAAATAGAATACTATATAGCAATGAAAACAAATCATAATTATACACAAAGATGATGCTTTGAAACATAACATTGAGTAAAATAATGTACAGTATCTTATTTTTATAAAGCTCAAAAACAGGCCAAACTAAATATAACATTTAGGTGGGTAGGTAGGCAGGTAAATAGATTAATAAAAAGTAGAACAACAAAGCATATGTTTGCATATACTAAATCTTAAAAAATCTCAATTTTGCCTACCTAATATTCATCTTTTATTCAAGTATCACCTTTAGAAGAAACAGGAGAACCAATGCCAAACTTACCTGCAGAAACACTGGGGGAGTTCTCCTAGGCCATATAAAGGAAATAAAAATGGAGTGTTTCCATACCGCCCAAGACAGTGAAGAAAGTTTTTGGTAGCTTTGAGACCATCTATGGTACTGCTGGATGTCTCTGATGTCATTGCAATCGAATGCAGGACAAAATATTGGAGGTTGGGGGTTAATTTTTGAGTTTTTAAATATTCAGAAAATGTAATCTCCTCATAGGCTATGAAAAGAAAGATGAAAATATATCAATTAAAATCAGAACTAAACTTATATTTAAAACCACCCTACAAAAATAAGATCAAATCTGTTTAAACTTCACAAAGAACACAGGTGGTATTATTACATTTTGGAAAGTGATGGATGATCTTAGAAAAAAGAAATAGAAACAATTTCACTATCCTATTTGGACTGATGGTACAATTTTTCAGTGTTAAGTGATGAATTTTTGTTTAGCATTTTATGGATTTAAAAAGCTAGAAAATCATTAAATAACTCAAATGGGTTGCCATGGTCGGCAGTAATCTCTTAATTAATCTCTTAATTATCTCTTAATTATCTTAAGTAATGTCTTAATCTCTTAATTATCATTAAAACTATAGAATACCAATAATTGCATCTGAAAATATTAAATATGACAAAATGAACATTTATTGGTGAAAATTATGAATAGGTATACATTGCAAAATGTATACATCCCACTAAAACTTATAACAATGAACTAAAAAGTAATGAAACTAATTTCTGTGTGGCTACTGGAATCAGTCTTAGTGCCATGTAATCACACATCAAAACATAAGGAACCCTTCCCTACAAATTACTCCTTTAAGAACAGAAAACAATGTAACTGAACTGTTAGTGGTTGGAAATGTAATCCTATGACAAAGACAAAAACTTTACGGAAATAATTTAAATAAATAAAAATTTACTGACAGAATGTGTTTACATAGCCGCAATGGAGTATCTAGCAGACTTTTAAGCCTTAGAGCAAGAACTAGATTTTTATTACTTCATCAAAGAAAACAAATACTACTACACTTCTCACTGTAACTTTATAAATGAATTAGCAATAGCATAGTCAATTTTTGGATAACATTTCCAGCCCATGCACTTAAAGTGTAGTGCACAGCTATACTATTGATAAAATGGTGCATTCAATTTTCAACAAACTGTAAAGTAATTAGCTCCAAATCACAAAGTTAGATGGATCAAAGCCAAGACTAGAAACCATGCCTTCTCCAAATCCAATGTTTTTTCCTGTGTTCCATCTAGCCTTTTATTTTTTAAACAATCAAAATGAATAGTCAAGATTCCAAGCAAAAGCAGTCCTGAATAATGATGAACTATACAGTTTTTTTAATTATTGAGAAGAAAAAATAATGGAATAACAAAGAGGGAATGTCATCTATGAAGAGCCAGTTGACTATAGTATTTAATAACAAGAATAAAAATTAAAATCTAGCACAGCATTTCTGCCATGATGAAAACATCTGTACTGTAGCCACAGTAGTCACTAGCCACATGTGGCTACTGAGCACTTGAAACACAACTAGTGAGACTGAGGAACCGAATTTTGTATTTTATATAATTTTAATTAATTTAAATAGCGACATGTTGCTAATGGCTAATCTATTGTATAGTACAGAATTAGCATTTTAAAACAGTAATAAGTGGCTCGCTAAATCAGAACAAGCACATTAAAATAATAAGAAAGCTCAAATAATAGGAGAACACAATTTAATGAAAAACAATACCTTTATATTCATCAGGATGCTCCTCAAATTCCATACAAAACGTAAGAAATTTCATTAGCATTCGTTTTTCTATCATAGTAAGTTGTTTGCTGTTAAAGACATCTGCTCTAGAACAAGGAACCTGAAAAGGATTATGATTTTAAGTTAAGAAACTGCTCCTTAATAAATTCCAAATTAGATTTTTCCCCTTTATGTATATAACAGGATTGTTATTTCCATTCTAGTCAGGCAGCTTCATGTTACCTTCCATCAGTACTAATGACATCTCTGTTAACTTCAGAGCTAATTAACTTACAAGCTTTCTTAACTAAATTCTGCCAAGTTGCTCTTCATGTCATTAAAAGGCCAATGGTGTGGCACCCCTAACAGGGAACAAATCTAGCAGTGCTGCCTGAAAGTAACACTTTCTCAATACTAACATCAAGCTGCATAACTCCTGAGAGAATTAACACAAGAAATTTTAACTGAGCAAATATTACTATTTACATTTCTAAATTACCATGCAGGATTGGAATTTACTACTCTAAAAAAAAATCTCTTTTGCTTGTCTTTCAAAAACAAACTATAATAACTTAAACTCATAGCCAGTTAGAATACTTAATCAATAAGTATAATACCTGTTCCACTCTTCCTTCTCGAAATGCAAGAATCCTGGTAATATTTTTAAACTCTGCATATCGACTGACATTAGATTTGATTAGAAGATCAATTAGCAATCCTCGAGAATACAGCAGCTATACAAAGATAACATATGACAGGATAAAAGGTAAAACAGTGGGAAAATGTATAAATACTAAATAAAAATACATAATTTTGTTATGTTTTAAATTTATAAAAAGTATACTTATAAATATTATATAACACAATTTATTACAGGATTAAAACTGATTAACTAAAATTAATCCAACAAAGTGCAATCAAAAAGTTTTTTCATAACTTGTTTAGCAGCAAAACCTGATCCAAACTGATTCAAGGCTCTTCTTTGTCCCATATAATGTAAATATTCATACATTTCACTGCAGAAATATTAATGTGTTTAGTTATAGAGAGCCTCCTCAGATCCTGCTAAGAATGTTACCTAATACATAGCATATCAGCATATGCACTGTATTATTAATACATCCTAAAATAATGTTTTAAATCTAAATGACAGAACACACTAGGCCCCAAGGGCTTTGGATAATAGACCATACACCTATATAAAGCCAGGCGCTTGTAAGAAATCAGCTCAGTGGACCACCACACCCCACCAAAAAAAAAAAAAAAAAGATGTATGATAGATTTCCACTAAAAAAGTCAAATCACAAGGTCCCTCTGTAATCCTAGAAATCTAGGGTTATATGAGATACGCCTTTCTCAAAAAAGTGAGGATGATGGTTATTGTAGGCATGTATGTGAAGGACTGATTTAATCTTTCAACATCTCTAGCAATTGAGAGTGACAACAACAATAATTTAAATAGTAACTTAACCATATGGTTAAAAGCAACAGGTTTGGCTATTTCCTATATTAAGATATCTTTAAATAATGTCTATAACTTGATAAATGTTGAAAATGCAAATGCTACATCTATAATAAGTGGAAGAACTTAAAATAAGCTTTACTACACACAAAAAAAGGGAATCTCCAAAATCAATCTAAACCATTAGTCTGAGTATCCAAGTAAAGACTTTTAGCAAATCAATACCAGTTAAGTAAAATTTTATAAGTTATTATATTAGTTCAACATTGTGCAGAACAAAATTGACATCATTTTTTTAAACTAGTCTATTGCCCTGATTAAATATGGCATGTTACTTCATTATCTTCTTCCTAACATACTACACAACTGATAGAGTCTATGTTTTAAGGAAAATATTACCAAGTCCTAATTCTATAATAATAATAGACACTTCAAAAGCCTATTTAAAAACATAAACACTTAAGATTCAATGATCCCTCAATAGCCATACTACTTTCACAAATATTAATATATAAAACATAAAAATGTATTATTTAGTAAGATTTAATAAAGCTTAAGATTTAATGCCAGCTTAAAAAATAATGCATTTAAGATATCACTGAAGAATGAAAACAAATTTCATTTAAAATTATACTGGACTTTTGTTTCTGAAGCTCAGAAATAATGAATGTGTATTATATTTAAACCTAAGCCTGTTTTTCAACACTAAGTGATTTGCCACAGTAATTTCACAGTGATGAGAGGCTAAAGAACACTTTGAAACAATGGGAACTAGATTTAATAATTAACAATTTTTGCTTCAATTGGAATGTTGGCTCCATAATTATTAAGGGTATGGATTTAGTTAGAAATGAGTTTTAATTGTAAGAATTTCATCTTTGACCATTTTCTCTATTAGTCTGAGCAGTATTTAACACTTTACATATTTTACTTACCTAACCTACCCTAAGGTATTACCTTTGAAAAGTGTATATACATGGATATGTTTTGTAAACTGTAAAGCTTCACAGTATTTGTTAATTATACCATAATAACTTTGAGATGGAATGCATGTAGAAATATCAAGTAATTTAGAGATATAGAACTGAACTTCAGGAAAGAGGTAGGGCTTAAGATAGGTATCTGGCAATCATTCTAAATTTAGATGTGATAACTGCAATGATCACAATAGATGAAATTTCCAAGGACTGACTGACTGTCCCAACAATATGAAACATACTGCTTTTGATCCAGTGGGCAATGAATAAATGTTCACTGAATGACTAATATTCTTAAAACACGGCAATAAACTTCCTATACTGCAATGGTTATACATTCTGTAGATACTTCTGTTTTTTGTAGAATGACTATAATAAATGATTATTGGTTATTCTGTGTATGTATGAAAACTCTGCAAGACAAAGTACAACTGCCTTAACTGCCTCTAGACACGTTTGTTTTTTATTTACCCATGAAAATACCCAGAAATCTCCTTCAGAATCTCCTCAGATGTATCAGCTTCTAATTCAATTGTCTTTTTCCTCCCACAACCAGCATTCATTTTTCTGTACAACTGAATAATTTTCTATACTAATTCCCACGATTGAAACAGCACTATCTTCTACTCTTTTCCTTTGTAAGATATATACTATATTTCAGCTAACGTTAAGAGTTAGAGACTTTTAAGAAATACCCTTGATTCTTAACCACATTTACATAATTTCTTTAGATAAAGCATTCCAAATTTTGAGTAACTAATTCAAAATGGTATTTTAAGAGCAAAGGCCATTTATTATTTGACTACTTCAGTTTTTTATTTTGTTTTTTAACTTATTTCATAGAGTACTGCTCATTATAAAAAGAAAATTATCAGTGAGCTAGGATTAAACTTCTATCCAGAGACAAATAGCCAAGATAATGTGGGAAAATGCTAGATTTCAAAGTATAGCAGGGTCTAAGTAGTTGGAAAAGGTGGGAGAGACAGTGTAGAAATATGAAGTAGGACCAAGGCAATAGCTGACTCAGATTATGATAGAATCAGAAACAGTGCTATTATGATAGAAAGAAAAATGGATAGTAAAAAGACATTCATATTTTCAGGCATAAAGCACAAAAGGAACAGGATATGGAATTGCATCAGCAAAATGTGAGTGGTACACCTTAGTCCCTCTCTGTCCCTTACCACTTGGAACTTAAAGTATGTACATTAGATGGAAAAGAGTAGTTTTGAAGCAAGTCTGATATTATTCACTACCCTCTCCTACTTCTCGATTTCTCATTGTTTGCCTTCAACTTATAGGATTTGGTCTGTGTTTTTCTCTACTTTTACCTAGTTCTGTATTGTAACCCTTTAAAGGTCATGATCTTTTATCTTAATAGTTTTCCATTCTCTTGTACTCAAATAGCCATGCTTCCTATAAACCAAATGCAACACTGTATCCTTCTAAGACCCAGGGATCTCCTCTAAAGTGACACTGAATTAATGTTAGAATTAAGGACAGAAATATAATCAAAGAAAACAGCATTCTTCCCAGCCTTCCTGCCTCCATCACTATTAAATTATCCTCTGAAGCCCTCCAAACCTGAACATCTGATTTTCAAACAGGCATAGATTTATTCAGAATATTCATCATCATACAGATGTTAAAATAGTTACTATATATAAAGACTAAAAAAGTTTGATGTTAACTGACTGTAAATAACATGGATTTGTAAACAGGTTCATTAGAATTTTTCTTTTGATAGAATTCATTGTCCATGCATTAGAAGAATATTAGGATATACTATGTGCTGTAGTACAAAAGTATTTTTCAAGTACAAAAGTATTCAAGTATAAATTAAAAACATATTCAAAGCATTTTAACATGAGCATTTTAATGTGCTTTTAATCAGTAAAGAATATTTTAATTGAATTATAAGTTTCTGACTCCTATCTCTTTATTAAACAAATGCTCTATACTTTAGAGGATAAAATTATAAAACTTGGATTTTGGGGCCCAGATGCTACTTTCAATCAATCAGAAGTTATTATTGTTCTATAACAAGATGAGTAAAATTGGTACTTACCTTTGATACCAAATCAATATTAAATCTCCTGCCTTCTTTAATAATTTGTGAGTATGTAATCCTATTTTTCTTTGGTTGCTCTGTGGTATCTTCTGTTATAGGCAAATTTTCACTTGTTTCCTCTTCTGAAGTTGATGGCACACAAGTTTTATTATCACAGTAGTTCTCTTTCTCCCCTGTGGCTTCAGCATCATTTACTTCTAGGGCACTCTCTGGATCACTACTTGGAGTTTGTTCTGCGGGCATTTCACAGCTCACAGTGTTTAATGTCTCATCTTCTGTCGGCAGGCAGGCAGAATCTGCAGCTTCTGTGGAGTTTGCAGATGTCACATAAGCGTGATTCTTCTGCAGTGCACCAGCTTCTTCAACATCTTCATGCAAATCCTGACTAATGAGAAATCACAGTAATAATCAATACCACGCTTTTGAGAATTCTACCCTGCTACATTTTTATATTGCTTTAACTTTCCATGGCAAATTTGATTCCTTTTCCCCTATTATCAAATTCAGTGTATGTTTTGTGTTATGTGACCCAGACATTAAACATTCACCTGCTAAGGTTTCAATATAATATGAAATATAATTAAGGTTTGAAAAATACCCATAAAAATTTCAGGGTTTAGGAGGCCATGTCACATGTACATTTCTGAGAATTTAAGGTAGACAGAGAAACTGTATTTTAGAAGCAGATCATCACAGTGATTAAGAACATCCTTCAGAATTAACAAATTTGGGTAAAAACCTTGAGTCTATGACTACTCAAGCTCTGTGCATTTAGACAAGGTATTTATCCTCTCTGAAACCACTTAAATTACCCATATATAACATAGCGATAATACCACCTGCCTCACAAGGTTGTTTTGAAGATTAAATGAGGTATCGCATGCAAAGAAGCTGGGACAGTGCCTGGGACAGCAAATATTCAACAATGATAGTTATCAAAGATGATTATTATTGAGCAATTCTTGACTTGGTAGTAGGACAGAGGTACCTTTAGTAAAGTGGGCAAAAATATGCCATGAAAAGTTTACTTAAATAACCCTATCACAATGTGGTATACAACAGGATCTTTCTGTATTCTTTCCTGCCATATATTGTTTTAGTATTGATATCTATTACTCTACTGGAAGCCCCATTTCCAAAGTTATTATTACAGTTAACATTCTTAGTTCATTATTGTCTTGACTGATGCAAAAGACTCCCATTCAGTCTGCCTGCATCATAAATTTCTCCATGATATTTTATATTCCACAGAACCCATTATTTTCATTGAGTTACCCTACTGTTCAATACTTGGCCCAGTGCCTTGTATGTGATAGGTCTTGGCAAATAAACATCTACTAGTTGACTGCTCAAGAACTAACAATAGCCCTTCCTTGTATCAAATCTAACCCCCACCCCATAAAAATCTTCCTTTTCCTATCTCCAAATCAAATCACCTTCTTTATTTACTAATCTTCTGGTTTCATCTCTATCTGCTTTCCAACATGGCATCTCTAACTCCCAATTTATAAACTCTCATCTTCATGTTTTAGCCCATATCATTCGTTTCTTCTAGGGTATTCTTCCCACTCCCCACAAAAATCACCATCCCCTATTCCCAAACATAATCACAATCTTTAACAAACTATTCTAAGAAGTAGTTTACCTTTCATTTTCAAGAAGTCTTCCTTAAAGTAACCACATTCATCATTCTATTACTCCATGCTCCCATAATACAAATGTGCAGTTCGCCTTACATTTATTTATCAATTCCTTTTTAATGGTCCTTTGGGTTGTCCAGGACACGCTTTATGAACTAAACTTAATTCTTAATTCTGAACTAAACTTTAATTCTTTTAAAGGAAGACCCTAATACTTCTTCTTCTGTGCCCCTCACAACACTACTGCACTGCTCTTTAGATGTGGTATCTAATAAATGCTTGATGAATAAATGGTTTATACATGTAAAGGATTTTTTAAAAAATATGAAACAAACTTATTGTAGAACACACACACAAAAAAATAGGCCAGGAAAAAAACATTGGATGATAAATTTAAAAGTCTGGGTGCAGCAAAAAAAAGTGCTTTATTAAAATTAATACAATATACACTACAACAAAAAAAGGCCAGTGAATGAATAAAATAACACTCAAATATCAAGAAATAAAATGTCATCATCTTTACTGTTATAGTAATTTGAATGAAATCTAATTTAAAAAAGGAATAGATAGCATTAATGACAATACTTTTCAGAGCTAAGAAACTAAAGTGGGAAAACCATCCAAGTTCTAGTCCTAGGTGCATTATGGTGGAGTTCTCTGGCAAGTCATTTAATCTCTCAGATTCCCCACCTATAAAATGCCAATTAGTCCATCTGCCTTGCCTTTCATGAGACCTTTAGAGACTGTTACAAGATAAATGAGCTAACATACGTGAAAAGTAATTTATAAACTCTAAAACATTAATCAAATATAAAATACTAATCAGGTATAAGATATTCTTAAACTGCCCACAGGTCAACGGTCAACTCAAAACATGTGTGCCTAGGTTTTCTGCATTCAAGTGATGAAAGCTCTTTGGCCACATAAACACACAATAGTACCACTGCCATTAACAACATTAAAAATGAAGAATGATAATGTGACATATGATTTATAGATTTTCTACAGAATTGTTCATGCTCTGTATTCACTTTCATTATTTTGAAAACCAATAAAACTAAAGTGTGTTCTATGAGGGATCTAAGGTGAAAACTCTCAGCAAAAGTTTCACACCTAAATTTTAAACTAAGAAATGACAGGATAATTCATTACAGTTCACAGATAAGACAGAATATGGCAACGTCTCTTATTGCAGACCATGATGATGACACCATGAAAACTGAGCATAGCAACTGATCTAGTCAGTGGCTATTATATTCTGCACAAGGGAGTTTTACAGAGTGAATAAAATACGTTAACGAGTGCTGGACAATCTGGAAGATATAAGTCAAAATATTTAAAGGTGTAAGTGTAAGGAAAGAAATTATTTTTGGAGAATTTGTTCTATATCCATAAAGTACTGTTTTACTGTTCTCAACATCACAATTTTGTGAAATTCCTAGCACTCTGGAAAACACAAATAACAAAAACACAATATTGTCCTCACTTTCCAATAAAAACAACCACAGTATTTTTGGAGTTCTCCCAAGGTTAAAGTTAATACCTAACAAGAAGGTATAATAACACCAGAAAACTCCTAATACTCCACTTGATTCCTCAGTAAGCAAAATTCCGTTTATCAAAAAGCACCATCTTGCCCCAAATGTAAAACCTTACAAGAGATATTTTCTTAAAAATATATTCAACCTTTCACAGAAATCTTCAGAATAAAATAATAGCTCAATTTTATTATTTTTAGAAGTATTTGAAAAGTATAAAAACACATTTGTCAATTATAAAATAATGTGGCTGGATCATAAATCCTCAAACGAACCTTTGAATTCTAAAATATTACAGTGATTTTAACATATATTGATGCCCTTTGACTTATAATGGGGTTACACCCTAGTAAACCTATCATAAGTTGAAAATACTGCAGGTCAAAATGCATTCAATACCCCAATAAACCCACTATAAAATTGAAAAATCTTATGTCAAACCATCACATGCTGGTGACTGTAAAAAAAAAAACCAATGTGTGTCATTAGTTCTTATAAAACTTGTCACTATCAAAATGGATTTCACAAATTAAATCTAATGTCATTTGCAATGCTAATTTGAATTCCAAAGACCATTTACAATACAGTATAACAACATATTTGAGATAATTTTTCCTAACTACAACTGCTAAATACTGCTTTGTATAAGTGTATTTTTTATTAATTGCCAAAATATGTATATAACTCTGAGATTTGGGGGTAAAAATTCTGATATTATCTAGTTCTACTTATCAATTAATAGCACTAATGAAGGAATACCTCCAAGAAAATGTGTGTTTACTAATGCCTTGCAACAGTCAGTCTTTTAGAAGAGTCAAATGAAAAACTGCCAACCAGCTGGTTAATTTATTTAGCACAGGTGTTCACTATTTATTTTTTCAGCCATTTGCACCTTTTCTTTCCCAATACAGCCCGTTGCAGAAATTGTATTCTTCTACTTTGAGGAATATACTTTGTTCTAAGGCCATTCATTTCTGATTTACACAGTATATGTTATACTGCTACCCAGCTGTTTATTCCTAAAATAAATGTTTAATGGCTACTCATAATAACTGCAAAAATCAAACTACCCAAAAATTATTCTAGAAAATAGTAAAATAAAAAAAATTAAAATCAATTTTGAATTAGTACAATATATTGATAGATATATTTCCCGATTTGTTACCAACTTAAAATGTTAACATATACCTTAGAATATAGTTGAAATATCAACTTTTTGTCACATTACTCAAGAAGAAAATTTCATGAGGTAGTGTACAGTAGGCACTGTTGGGTACTTACTCAACAAACATTATCTTCCTTTCTCCTTGTTACAAGAGCCCCAATTTTGTTCCAATATCAGATAGAAGGTTCTCGTCCTAGGGAATGGATCATGACTGATCAATACCACTTATGGTAATTTTACTTCCTTTTCTGGTGATTAAGGGGTGAGCATGTTTAGCCAATGAGATAAGGAAGTGTCTCTGCTGTGAGCTCTTGGTGAAGACTTTCCGATATAATAAAAAAAGTACAAACATGTTAGAAAAGACTCTCCCCCCCCCTTTTTTCATCTTTAGAGATTTTCTGTTATATGAGAACCTATCTGGAATTATGGCAATCATCTTGCAACCCTGGAAAGAAAGCTAAAAGAAATGTAGAGTAGCTGCTCCAGTGCTCTGATGTGCTTAAGCAGCACAATTACAAATCTTCTAACTACCCACCCACCCATCTATTTGTTTAAACCACTTTTAGTTGTGTGACTTCCAGCCTAAAATAAACTTATGTATACACAATGATGAGTAGCTTCCTCTAAATTGTAAAAGTTCCAGATGATTTTACATCTCTTTTTTTTTCATTCCTTTCCTCTTGTTAGTATTATTCCACTGGTATTATTGCTCAAGAAGCTCTCGTTATTTGTACAATTTTTTTTTTATTTCGGCATATTATGGGGGTACAGATTTTAAGGTTCCAATAAATGTCCATTTCCCCTCCTCCCCCCAAAAGTCTGAGTCTCCATCATGACCATTCCCCCAGGACCAGGCACCATTCTCCCATCATTATGTAATGGTATATAACCCGTCCCTCCCCCTCCCCACCTGCCAATACCCTATTACTGTAGTACCTAATTGTGTCCACCTTAGGTGTTACTCAGTTAATACCAGTTTGCCTGGGGAATATATCTGGTGCTTGTTTCTTCTCCAATTTCTTGGATACTTTCACCTGAGTTA